ATAAAAATTAATTTTTCAATTATTAATTAATTATACTTTGCACTTAAATTTTCAGGCAACCTTTACGGATTATATTTTTTTAGATATTGAATCATATATTAAAATATATTTCAATCCGTAACGCGATGGGTGAAGGTCATTCCATGGTCGGATCTTAGACTAGAAGGTTTGCTATGTTTTTCTCTCACTGGATGATGATGGTTTACACCTCTCTGATGAATCTAAACTTTCAGGTAAAAATCGTAGAAGATATTCATATCATGGTTTTACGGATAACTTTGTCGCTGCCTGATATTTGGAAAAACATTTTAAAAAAAGGTAAACATTTCTTTGTTATTTTTCGAACATGAAAATGTAAATTCTGGAGTTGAGGTGCAAGTAGTGGTGGACAGTTTGCACGAGGAGTTTAGTTAGAGATCCTGCAATATTGATGATATTCCGTAACAATTCAGTTCAATGTCACCTTTCAAAACCTGTAATGTTTTACCCATTATTCATTAGCTCGTTATATATTTTCGTTTCTCATCATTAATAGGGATATTGTCATTAAATTATCGTCAGTATTATCAGAGCGGAAGATACTTCAACTATACCAGGTATCCGAAAAGTCTCTCCAAAAGGAGTCCAAAAAATACCAAAATCTTGAAAAGAACCATATATCGATATGTAGCGCATTTCAAAGGCATTGTAAAAACCGAATATTTCTGAACCGATTTGAGGTCTTAACGTCTACCCGTTTCGATCAATAGGGAAGATTAATAATGAATGCTAGTTGTGGAAGAGTTTTATTTCTATTTTATGAACCTTCTGTGGGTAATGTATACATTTCACAATCAAAATAATATGTAATGGAAAACTTTATGAATTCGGGTTCTTCAATCCATGAGGATTGTGACTTCAGTATCCGCAGTCTACTAACAGAACTGCTAATGAAGCACCTTGATTCATTATTAAAATATATCCTATAGAATTACTTGAGTTGTGTGGCAATTGAATTTTTAACAAAACTGCAGTCTTCGATCTCAATATCTTCATTTAGTTCTTGTAGACGGATTATAAAGGTATGAAATGTGTGCTGTTTCGAAATTTGATGCACTGTTGATTTGTCTGTACTTGCAGCGACATCTATTGTGCGCATTGATGCTTGGGTTGGATATCAGTGGATTTGTATTGAACGGGCGGGCTAAAAGTTGAAGTGAAATTTCGCACAACACTTCTCACGTAAACCGTCCATGAAATAAAATTGTTTCGATTTTGTTCCATTAAAGCGGCTCATATCGAAAAGAATAAAATCACGAAAATCAATGATGCATTTTCAATGTCGATGTCAACAAAACCGTGAATCAACGAGTATTACTAGGAATTCAAATGATAATAAATAATTATATGATGATAATAAAAAGATCTACATATCGACATATTGTTCAATTTGGTGCAATGTAGCCACTCACTCAATCGACCGCTGTGTGAACCGGTGGTTCGAACCGCAAGGCAGGACGATCGATTTTTCCCGTGTTAGGAAGCACACGTTTAAACGTAAGACCTCGTTAGTAGTCAGCTCGCACAAATTTCGAATTTTTAAAGTTGTCATCTCTAGGGGGCGACAGCTGGTTAACGGAAATCGGATTTTTAACGTCCCTGTGAGGTTAAAAATGTGCTGCATGAAGAAGTAGACTGCTTTGTATATATATTCTTGTCAAACTTTATTTAATCTTCACTGACTTCGGAGATATAAAGCCGTACTAAGACTTTTCGGACACCCGGTATATCCGTCTCCTTCCTAGCCAAGATATATAATACTTTACTGAATGTTAATTATTTCATATTATTGAAATGATAGAACAAAAATCTCAGGACCATTGCTTCGGGTATTTTGCTTCAGAAAACTCAATTTAATATCAGAAGGAATACTCATACTCCAGCCTACCAGAATATTTTTTATACAGTTGATTTATGTCTTTACTGGAGTACATGCGTTCCAGGTTCGATATGTTCAAACGGGAGAAGAGCTGCGACAAAGACAAAAAAAGTGAGAAACAGACACTGACGAAACAGAAATCGATCGGATCAGAAGCCGCGTCAAAAACGGACCTGTCGAAAGCTTCAAGTTTCAAGGAAAAAAGTGTTTCTGTGAAGCACCCGGACAGTTTGTTGGCGCCCAGGGTGACGATCGATCAATCGCAAAAAGGTGTTCGAAAGAGTGAAAAAAAAGACAGTGATAAGGGCATTAAGCCCAGCATTAGTTTCAGTAGGAGTAAGCATAGCGGAGGTGGAAAAAATAAGGAGGCGGTAAAGCAGGACGATTTCCTGGAAGCAACCATGAGGATATTTCTCATGGTGTCTCCTCCTGTAGGAAAAATTCAGGTAATATTTGTCTGTAGGTTGTGTTCGTCTATTAGTAGTGAATCTTTCAGAGATATTTTTGTTGTGATGATTATGTTTATTACATCAATCTCTCAATTTACGTATTCATGAACCTCCAAAAACATACGCTCGACATAACTCAAACTAATCTGAGTTGAACTGTTGATTATTGGAATTGTTCAACTTGAGAAAAGCTGAGGTTACTACTTGAATTTTATGTATATCAATAGGATAATGTAAGGAAAGGTTATTTATTAATAAAATCTTCTATTGATTATTCCGTGTATGTACATATACTGTAGCTACCATAAGCCTATTGTTACTTTTGTAGGATTAAATAATACATTCATTAAATTAATATCATCATTTTCAAGCCACGTTTCACATAATTAAAGACTATGACGTGCTTGCTGATTGGATTTTTATAAAACTGTCAACCGTATATGTCTAACGCACACTAAACACTGAGCGTCTGTTCGACGAGAGGGGAAGAGCCGTTGACGTATGTGTGAGAGAAAGGGAAGCCAGACAACCTGGTGCCGTTACGCGTTTTCCGAAAAATGCATCAAAAGCAATTTCGTGTTTGAATTTTACACTGCTGCTTGATGAGAAAAAACACCGACCAAGCACATCAATGGTTTGAAAAAGGTTATAAGGGCTCTGCTCATCGGAAATAACAATTTGCAAAAAGCACAAAATCGTTTCAAATGATCGAAAAGTGAAGTTGCGTGAATTAACTGACACTGTAAAGATATCAAAAAAACGTATTCGCTTCATATTGCATGCTCATTTGACTATGAGGAAGCTTAGTTCAAAGTGGGTGCCGGGCGAACTCACTGTTGACCAAAAACAAGAACGTCTTGATGATTTTGAGCAGTGTTTGTGACGTGTTCAAACATAACAAACCGGCATTTTTGCGTCGATTCGTGACAATGGATGAAACATTGATCCATTACATCACTCTGCACAACAATCAGTCGAAAAGGTTATGGCCTCGGTATTTTGGGATGTGCGTAGTGTAAGTAGTGTAGTATTCATCTTGAGAAGGGACATATCATCAACCGTGAACATTATATAACGTTATTGGAGCGTTTGATGACCGAATTTGTGAAAAAATGACCCCATTTGAAGAAAAAGGAAGTGCTGCTTCATTAAGACAAGGCACAGTATCACAAATCAATGAAAACGGTGGCAAAATTGCATGAAATGGGTTTGGAATTGATCCCGCGTGCAATATATTTGCCAGATTTGGCTCCCAGCGACCACTGACTATTCACAGAACTAAAAATATGCTCATCGGTAACAAATTTCGCTCGAATGAAGAGGTTATTGCTGAAACTGAGGAGTAGTTTAGGGCAAAAGATAAATCGTTCTACAAAAGTGGTATTGCACCTTCTGTTTCAGATACGTCTTCTCTTCGAATCCTGGATGGTTGGTTCTGAGGGTTTATTATTGGTCATTTCTATTTCGAGCAACCAATTAAATTATTTTGGAAGCAGGTTAGGATATGGAATATTCTGTTTACATACATATGATTCATTACAAAGTTATTTTACCGAATCAACTTGATATATATCCTCAAACCATCAGATCATTAGCAAAGCTTCCCTTGGTTTACCCAAACAAAACATTTGCATGATCTAATCATCAGAGAATGTTTCAGTAGCGCAAAACAAATTCGAAAGGGTTATGGCGTGCGGTTTTCCTGTTCGCAACATTCGTACAACGAACATGCTATAACTCAATTATGAGATATTAATCAACATGGGGCATTGGTGCTACTGTGTGATCGGATCTGTAATTGTTGATGAGCAGCTGTAATTAACGAATTATTTGCCGTTGTAATTTTCTCAAATTATTTCATAATTCGTGAAAGGTGGAGCTATTTAGAGTTGTTATTAACGAAATATATGTTCAATTCAATCAGCATAGTTCATATATAGCGTTCAAAGTTACATTATTCCTCATAGATATGATACTGATCGGAATATAAATCACAGAACTTGATTATTTTGCAAGATGCGTTGTTACAGTATAATTTAGATTGAGCTAGGAAAAAGTGATGATTCAAGTGGAAATAACAGCTCTATATGAAATTATGTCAAATGTCAGAGGACACCCAGGTTGCCGCAAAGAACAATTGACAGTTCAATCTGCTGATTATGTATATTTGAAAGCACTCTTGATCCCAAGCAGTGCGTTTTTTTTAGACCCGACATATGTCTGATCTGTAGTGCTAGTCTAAACTACGGAAATATTCCTAGACCAACTGTCCAAAACCATCATAGAGCAAGAATTGGAGCTGTCTGAGCGGCCGATGAAGTTTTCGACACTGAATGAGGTTACCACAACCCAGTCACCGAGTTGAAATCCGTTCAGAAAAATACCCAAACCTATAAGAAAATAGGCCACAGTAAAAACAATGAAAACCTGGACTCATGGCGTCGTTGTTTTTCCCGGTTGGTGGAACGGTAGCTTGGTGGATTGACGTGACTGGTTTTCTCCACTCACTCAATCGGCTGCTGTGTGAACCGGTGGTTCGAACCGCAAGACCGGACGATCGATTTTCATTTCCTATCGTCCAACCCGTGTTAGGAATCACACGTTCGAAGGTGAGATCTTGTTAGTAATCAGCTCGCACAAGTTGTGACTTTTGAGGGTTGTCGTTCGTAGTGGGATGAGAGCTGGTTAACGCAAAAACAGACTTTGAAAGATTTTTTGAACAGAATTGGTTCATGGCTGAAAAGGGGGTTCAAAATTCTCTACCAGGATGGTGTTTTCAACAATTTGATTTACCGTAGTCGTGTGATGGGTGTAAATGTCCTCTTGTAGGGCATGGCTTGCCATGAGGCGCCTGGGGCTTTCATGCATTTCCTGTTACCAGGATTACGAATGCTATATTACCATTTTCAGCACTCCTATGGTATTGACGGAATACCGATGTTAACCCACGCGGAGGGATATTGAACCCATTGTGAGAAATTCATTGGAAATATTCATTTTCCACCCTCAGGCTCATGCAATCGAATAATCCTGATATAGTTCTGCTCGACCATCAAAGTGATACAATAGAGATTTCATTTCAGGGTGAGACGAATATCGTCCATGAATAGCATAAAAAGTGGATGAAATATCGAGAATTTCTCTTGGAACTTCGCAGACTCTATTCAGTCCACTCTGTTGAGATGGGGGTTCTGATTTGAAGAGTTCTTGATGGAATGGTTTTTGAACCCAATGATGACTCACCTCCTGGTGTGGGGAGTGGTCGGTAGTGATTATGCTGCGTGTTACCTGTCCATTATGCCTAATCGACAATTTCAACTGCCGATAATGGACACTCCTCAAAGCCTCAGTAGCAGACGAAACGTTTGGTACTGCAAAGTCCATGGCCGACAAGCCTGGGTTTTGTTCCTTTCCATCGACTCATGCCTATGTTCTTATATTGTGAATATTAATGTAACTTTTTCATATAACTCTTCATTTGTTATATCCAGTTCAGAAGTTTTCCAACTTGTATTCCTTTCAGTTAATGACCTCATACACCTGGTATGACATAATTGGATTTTTCAGGAATGCCTAACCTTTGTTGATGTTCAGTATTGGCACCGAATGTGGAATATTTCCTTCACTTGTGATTTCGGAAGTAATGATAACAATCAAACGAAATCAAATCTACATCATCTGTATACTTAGCAATGTAGTTTTTTGGCAAACATTTGCCGGATCTTACTGTGTAATAATATCTTTTCTCGAGTCATCATACCTATTTTATGTTTCAGGGCACCATGTTCTACATTAATAAATAATTTCAGTCAGTAGAGTGTGGAGAGGGATTAACTTTATCAAAGCTCGCAAGTTGTATGTACAGCGCCTCATATAACTTTTTAATTTGTTTCTGATTTCATAACGTGGTTCGTGAAAAAAAGGAAAGAACGAAGTGAAAAAGTTTGATCAAAGACCGTTATGTTCGAATTCAACTGAAGTTTCCACACGTATTCACGAAACACTTTCCAACAAAACATCAGAGAGATTGAAATACACGTTGCTACATTTCTAATTGAATATTGTTGTGACGAAAAGCAAAGTTCTTTGCTACATTGTCTTCCAAAAGTTTTTCTCCGACTTGAAACACGACATTTCTGAATGTATATCAGAAGAAACTGGTTTGGAAAAATAGCATTTGTATTCAAAATGAAAAACTTTAATGAAATGAATGATAACACTTTTGTCTTATTGCCACTGGTTATTCCATTTTTATGACCGATTTCGGGTCTTATCCCATCATCAAGTATAAAAACTAACTAATACATTTGAAATTTAAAAACGGGTTATACAGGGTGTTCATTAAACATGCGGCAAAAATTCATGGGGCTATTTATTGGACTATTCTAAGAATATTTTGTCCTTCGATGATTTTTGATAGTATGCTTTGTTTCGAAGATACGGAAAAAAAGAATTCCAACAATCACAATTACATTTTTTTTTTAATCTACTAGAACTGTTGAATATGACTCCCAAACTCTTTCAAAAACACCAGGATCGTTTCTGATGGCGTTAAACCCAGCAATTATCCGATTTCTCAAATCTTTCACATCTTTCACTGGAGTAATATAAACTAGTGACTCAAGGTGACCCCACAGAAAATAATCCAGGAGTTTTGAGTCTGGTGATCGAGCAGACCACCTCGACAATCTAGCGATCACCGTGTGTTAAAACTGTTGAAAACTCTCTAGCCAATATGCTGAAATGCGCTGATGCACCATCGTGCTCAACCACATTGCATTTCTTGTAACCAATGGTACATCCTCCAGAAGGTGAGGTAGCGTTTATTCCAAAAAGTTGCGGTATACCTCGCCGGAAAAAATAAGTGCCAGTAGTTGAAGGGTTTCAACTAATCTGTACAAAAGCCGTTGACAGAATGCAATACATGAAACAAAATCTGCAGGAAGAAGTGCCTGAACTCGTTGTATGTGGTATGGGTAGAACAACAAATAGTTTCT